GAAATACGGACCCCATTGGTGCTTTTACAGTAATATGGAACTCAACTCCTCCGAACTCTCTCTTTGCAATCAGACATTCATCCGGAGCAATTTGGGAAAAAGACACTAGGTAGAAAGTCAATTCTTCCTGAAAATATCGAAAAAGAACTGCTGGAATATATATTGTTGATGAAGGTCATATTTTTCTATTATAAAAGCATTTTTGCGATAAAATACAATGGAGTAATTAATTTTGTAATTATTTAACATTTTTTGTCCTTTCCTATTTGGTTTTGGCTACATTAAAGCATTTTTTGAAAATATACAGTAAGGTTCCATATTACCACCTGATTTTCTCTAAGCCTACTTTCGGATATTTTGTACAAAAGCCATCAAAAACCATACTTATAGATACACTAGCGAAAAATCCAATTAAGAACATTTAGTTTACTAGTTACCAGTACTTTTCGCACAAAAAATGTGGGTGTAGTTATGATACTTTGATACAATTCACTAAAATATAATTGGGGTTCCATAATACCACCTTCTCCTCTACCTGTGGTTTTTTAACAAATGATAGTTAGAGGCTATAAGAGATACTTTTTTATAAGATTATTTTCTTAAGAATAAGAAAAAAAAAGTATCTTTGGTAAAAACTTACAATAGGGTAGATTTTTGTATTGTTAAAAAAAAGCATACACCAAAAGTTGTAACAATTTTGTGATCTCTTGTAATAATTAAGTAAAGAAAATTATATAAATAAATAAAAGTTGATTATACTAAAGAAGGGTTCCATTTAGCATTTATGCGCTTTTGAACTGTCACATTGTTAAACTTGCTCTCTAAAGGTAAATTTTGCTTGGTGGCTGCGCAGCCCCCATGATACCAGTTATGATTGTAAAATTTACGAAACTAGTTAAGGGTTAAATAAATAAATGGTTTTGTGTTGGGAATCCTGCACAAAGGAATGGCTTGCACACAATGCATGGCATAGGAAATGTTGGCAAACTGTGGACACAGACAATGCTCCAATATTGTGCCAACTGTTGAAATGAAGCTGTATGATCTGCAATTGTCATGCAGATGAGGTGTCTGTCAGCCCATGCTGATGTAACATTTCATCATCCACTGGCAGATTTGCGACTTGTCTGATACTCTTCAACTCACTGCTTCCACACTCGCATAACTATTGTAGCATTATGCTCCATGAGCTGCAGTTTTGTGATAGGAAAATCCCTCTTCATGCAGGCTAATCATTTGCACTCTGTAACCTGCTCATATGGTCCCCTTTGTTCTCGATAAGACATAATGACTTCTCATGAAACGTTTACCAGTGGCAGACAATAATACACTACTTCCAACCTTCCACTAATGCACTCTATTTATATGGCTAATGCTAACATGACCATTCAGAGAGTACTTCTCAGCCCATGCATGCACTATAACTCTGATATTCTAATCATTTCATGTAAGTTTCAGTTTATTCATATGATCTCTTCATGATGTTGAAATTTTTACAAACATGAATGTATCCGTGCATGCTAAGAGTGATTGAGATAATTTGGAATTCTTTTACAAAATAAAATTGCTGGAAAAAAGTTTGAGATTTTAAAAAGAATAAATTACTTACTCTATTTCCAACTTATTTATTTGACTGAATTTTGAGAATATCTGTTAATTATCCTGTATTCTATGAATCTCACTTCCCTGTGTTCTGCAAGACAGCTGTCACAATCAAAATTATCTCCCATTTTCTATATGATTGGTAACTCATTAGTCAAAGGAACTATTCTTATTCCTTTAATGAAGTTCAAAAAATAAATAATATCAATAAGCAGCAATGGTCATGGCTGTAATGTGGTGTGCTGAGTAACTACTACTACACATTAATATATATTATAGTATTAATAAAATAAATTAATATGAAAAAACAAAGTTTGAATTTTATTGTTCACAGGTCAGAGTAGAGGTGCCAATTCTTGCCAAGTGCCCTCCTGCTACAGCACTTAAAATAAAATGCCATTGCACTACTTATGAAACATGGCAGGCAAAATGAGCAGGATTGTTCTGAAGAACAATTCAACAAATAATTGTAATAATAAAAAATTTATTTTCAATTTTTAATATTAAGTTTTGACGTGAAAAGAACTTAATTATGTTAAGTATAATCAAAACATACAATCATATGTTTACAGTAAATATGTACAAGTTCATATAATTTAATATTCTAGTCATTCAATGCCCTCTTCAAAGGGCACAGCTTGTTCTTGCCCCTGAGATAATGATTCCAGGCATTCTTCATTTTTAATGTGTGCTGGGAGCTCTTCTTGTGAAATATCTTCCAAAAGCTAAATATAAAATTTACCTCGAGTTATTAAATTTCACATAATTTAATTTAAAGAAAAGCAAATTTAAAATAATTTTGACCTGGTTTTCTTTCTCTACATTACTATCTCCAATGACTAAATCTAATACTGCTTGTGGTATATGAGCTCTCTGAAAAATTACAAATTTCATTATAGATTACAATAGCTAGAAATTATCTATTTTCATTATAATTAAATTTTATTTTTTACCTGATGTTCAGTAAATGAACTAATATGTTGTTGTAATGGTTCTCTCAGATCTGGACTCACTTCAAATACATTAGTCAATTGTGCTGGAGGTAATTGTAATAATACTTGGAATGATTGAGGTTTTGTTCTTTGGCAACATTTAATAAAACCTTCCCAAACTTTTTTCTGTTTCCAAACCTAAATAAAAAGTATTCCAAATTACTTAAATTATTGAAATTATTCTTTTAATAATCCATTAAACAGTATTTAAATATTGATAGATTAGAGTTGGATTTGATATCTAAAAATGCAGGTTTTATAGTTGTTATAGAATTGAACAAACTAATGTTATTTCAATTAATAATTAAATTTTGAAAATTAGTTAGCCTATCTAGAAGAATTATTAAGTAAAATTGAAAAAGTCTAGATTTAATTTAAATAAATATGGAATCTTAAACCTCTGGACAAAATAATTAAATTTCTGCCAGTGTTAAAGAGAGAACTGTCACTTATATAAGGAATGTGCATACTATCTGCTGTGGAAGAGAAACATGCAAGATAGTGGGGGAAAAATGCCAATGTAAAATTTGAACTATATATTACTACTAATAACTACTAGCATGGTTTCAAAGTACCTATATATTATCATTAGATTGCTTGTTGTGGAAGGTACCAAACTAGAAGAAATTGACTAGGAATCCTAAGCCCTGTACCATAAGCCCTTATCACCATCATATATATATATATGATGGTGATTAGGGCTTATGGTATCATTGTCTCTGTTGCAAGTTTATGGTTGATCTTCAACATCATTCAACAGAATAAAATTTGTGTGACAGAATCTGTCATTTGTCTAAATCTTGCACACACTATATAATCTTTTTGCTTGGCTTTTCTAATGTGAGTGGCAGTCATTTTTGAACACACCATTTGGCCATGCACAGGAATTTTTAGATAGATCCTTAGTTGCTTGTAAACTGGAAATACCAAAAGTCTGCTCATTCCAGGTCAATTATATGAACATGCTGATTAATTTTAGACTTGAAATACTAGCAATTCTATGCTAAGTGTTAACTAACACCTATACAACTTATTGCTGCTTGTTACATTAGCACTTATTCAAGAACATAAAAGATTGTTCCATAGTTTTTACAGGATTATTCATTAGTCTAATTTACACATGGCTTCTGTAGAAACTATAGAAAATCTGCAATGATTGGCACCTGAGCAAATCTGACCATGAGATTCCTTGCAACTACTTGAAATGCTGTCAACAAGAAAAACACTAAAAGCAATTTGACTTTAAAATCTCAAGAGGGCTTCACACTTTAAAAGTAGCTAGTTTTTCTTTCAGAAGTGGGTCCCTCAGCTTTTTTAAGATATTGAAGATTTTGTCATTTGGTATAAAACATCCTTTAACAAACTTCTCAACACAATCACATATTTTCAGTGATTCAATAAAACACAAACAAAAAAAATCATTTTCAAGCCACCTCACAGAGGTAAATTTGAAAGGAAAAATTAATTTCTGTTTTCTTAGCTTGACATGCTAGACCAGGGGTGGCCAAAACATGGCGGATGCACCAAACGTGGCGCATTGGACGATTACAAGTGGCGCTTCAGTTAGTTCTAAGCAAAATTGTCAGATTTGGCTTTTTTGCGATTAAGAATATTATATAGAAAAATAAATTTTTTATAGTCTGTCTTGGCAAGTTCATTTGTTGCACAATTCGTTACGGTCTATTTTGCAGATAAAATGAGTGTTCTCCACATAGTAAATTACAATGTATGCATGTATTTTGAGTCTTGCGATCTTTATTTCTGATCGGTAAACGCCTGTAAACGCCCAGTTTACAGGCGTGTAAATGGCTGAAAACATTTATTGTGATTAAAGTTATTCCAAGCTGATCTCGTTCTCAGTGCCAATAATTGTGGTGCAGAGTAATCTTCACCAAACGAGACTTTGGCAGCAATAGCACCATCATGAAGCAATCACTCTCTTGTACAGGAGATCATTGTTGACTATTGTAAATTGGTGCTTCAATAAACTGTCATAAATTAATTAATTCAACTGCGTGATTAAGTTATTCCCTTTTCTTTCCTAAGTGAAGCAGATTTATTCTTATCTCTATTTATCAACCTCTAACATTGAACGTAAGACTGTATAAAAAGTGTTCGAGTTATATGGCGCATTTGAACTCGTCTGTCAAAAAATTGGCACATGGTATGCAAAAGGTTGGCCACCCCCGTGCTAGACTATTTTTGAAGAGACTGTATATTGCTCTTAAAAAGTAATAAACATCCAAATTTGCCATCAGATGGCCTGTCTTCATGGCTCCATTAACTGTACATAGGCTGCAGACTTCAATATCAAGAAATGACTTGCCATCTGAGTTATTAATTTTCAATCTGTTTCCAAATTTCCTTAGAAACCTAAGATTCACATTAAAACCATCTGCTGAAAATGGATGGTCCTAATGTCAACTTACATGTTTTTTTAAAGGAAGTGACAGACCTCTAGTGAAGCTGCTCAACAGATGATTAATAGTTGAATGCCCAAAGAAAACCTCTTTGCTAGTTGACATCCTAAAAGCATGCCACCATGTCCATTTGACAACACTGAACAACTTTGCTTAGAGGTTCATGAAAACATACCACCACAGTCATTGCAGTTCTTCAAGTCAGTCTTCAAACAATCTCTGAAATAAGGAGCTAGTCCATGGTTTATTATATAAAATGATTTACTTTTCCCTTGAAGTTCTGTGCAATTTTGCTATCAAGAAATATTTTCCAAAACACAGAATCATTTCTATCACAATCACTATACTTCACTGGAACTGAAGTAGAAATAAAGCTGGATGTTAAAGATGTTTTCTTTTATATGTGAGCTGGTTGATGGCAATGGAAATATAGAATACTGCTTAGATGTGCTTTATCAAAAAATTTGACTGAACATTTACTAGTCAAATTTTTCATGTTTTTACCTCTTGGCATGAAAAACCATAATAATATGGGGAGATAGGCTAAGTTTAAAGATTTGAAGCACAATTTACAGTAGACTAACATGTACAATTTACAGGCACCAAATCTCATCATCCAGCAAAATCAGGATTCAGTTTATTATTAAACCACTAATTATTAAATATCAGCATTAAACTCTTTAATCCCTAAAAACAGAATCAATGATAAATAAGAGTGCATATACATACTTCTGTAAATAACCTGGAAAAAAATTTACAGCCTGGATTACAGTAAAAAGAAGCATAAAACTTGCTTCTCAAATTACTATCACTGGGGCAACCTTCCTGATTTTTCAAAATGTGGACACATTGCATTATCAATGGCATTTATGTTATCTAAATTACTCCCCCATAATTATAGACTGCATTAAATTAAATAACAATATAATATGAATTAAAAGCAATACATACTATACAAAACATGTTTCTTATTTAGATATAATTTTATTTTATATTATAAATAAAATCGTTCAGAATATAAAACTGAAAAGATTAATTATATATTTTAAACACAGAATTAATCACCAAATATTCATTATATATTCATGGAAAAAATTTAAAAATCCTAATGTTTTCAAAATTATTTACCTGTTTTAAAATTAATCTTTGTAAAATATTCATAACAAAACCAATCAGTCTGGGATAGTGTGACAATGATTGGATAACTGTTCTCATTAGAAGAGTTGGCAATGGATTTTGTTCCATCAACTGTTTCATAACTACTGCTAATACTTCCTGTGTATAAACATGCTTTTCAGCAAAGCACAACGAAGTAGCTATAAAAATAGCAATAGGAATAAATATATATATTAAGCTTTTTGTTTTCTATATTTTTGTTATAGAATTATTTAAAAGATATGTTTTTATTTTACAACAAGAATCATGTTAACAAATATTTGTTAAAGATTTCAATTAATACTAGAAATTCATTATTTGGCAGATAATGAAAAATTACAAAAAGTATTTATAAAAATTTATTTTAGTATATAAGGGTAAAAGAAACTAATAATCCCATTTATCAGTATGGGTTTGCAGAGAAAGTGGATATCAACTACAGTATCTGATCACCAAATAAATCAACATTATCTTGAAAATTACTTAAATTAAACTATAATATTGTTACAAATATTTATTAATGAGAAAAATTAATGAAATTATATTTGATATTAAATTCTATTCAAGGAAATTTGGAAGACTATAAACTTAGAGTATATCATCAATATAAAACAAAGTGAGAGATTATGTTAGGCTATAAAATCATTCCTATAGATATATAATTCTAATTGTTATCAGCAAAATGTATTGTCAATGAACTTAACTTAGCTATTTGCTTAGGTTATTATTTACAGATTATTGCAACAATTTAGGAAAAGCACAAAATGAAACTGCTGTTTGGACTTTGACTAAAAATAATGTATGCAAACCTAGCTAAGCCATGAGAACCTTAGACAAAATCATTGTATTAATTGGAATCAGTCAACATAGATATACTGACAATGTAAATTCTATAAGAACATGAACATTCATAATTTATTTTGCATTTTTATCAATTTGTTTTTAAAACATAATTTAACCAAAATCATTAAATAAGGCTTAAATTTATTACTTTTAAGGAATTAGATTCAAATATCAATATAATAAAATATCAACAACACAGGATTACAATAGCTTTTTGAAGATTAACTATTAAAATCTTGTTTAAAACACAAAAAATGTCGAATCAGTAATATTTTATTCTATTATTTCTTTGTTATTTGAAAAATTCATGAACTATCTAACTTGAATATTGCCAAATCTGAAAACTTTAACCTGTAAACAACATTTGACTTTGAAAATACACTACTATGTCTTATACAGACATATTCAGACTTGTAATTTCTCACACTGTTGTCACAACTAGGTTTGCCTACATTTCTTTTATTCAAAGTCCAAAAAGCAGTTTCATTTTGTACTTTACCTAAACTATGGAATTCGGAGATTGCTAAGTAAACTTGGGATGGGTTTTGCTGGTAATGTAATCATCAAACAAAATATTGTTTCAAAAATGTATTTATGTAAAATGTTAAAAACTATAAACAGACTACTATAAATTTATAGCTTTCTTTACCTTTTATAATTGTTTTCATATCACATTTTGATGGATCAATATTATGTAAAGCAATAAGCAATTCATCTGGTCTCAGAGGACTTGTGTAGCTTGTTCCAGATTCAGCTATGATTTAAAACAAATTATTATTAGCTTGCTATTTAATATTATAATTTTATTAAATCATACTTACTGTGACTACCAAGTAATCGATTGAAAACTTCCTTCACCACAATTGGATTCAATTTTATTAATTTTGGCAGAACAGCTATTACTTCTTTCTGTAGAAAAAAGAAAAAATAATAATGCAATATCAAATTTTTCATAATTTTTATATTATAGACATTTATTAATGATTATATATAGATTCTAATGTTGTTAACATATTTTGTGTTTTTAGTTAAAATTGTGCCATCAGTTATAAATAATAAAAATTCTAAATGCATTATTGCATCAAGAAACCTTGTTAAAATCATACTTATATTTGGCTTTTTAATACTTACTTTTGTAAGACCATTTAATACAGGTATTAAGAATCTTACATCAGGTACACGTTTATGATATAAATCTCTAACTCTAGCAACTAATTCTGCTGATGGAGGAGCTGAAAAATTAATTAGTAAAATATTTTTAAAATTTGAATAATTTTACACAAAATAAATCTAATTTTTTAATAAATACCTTTATCTGTCAAAATATGAATAATTCTTGTTACAAGTGTCTCTGCACCTTTTGGACAATTTTCTACCAATAGTAATAATTCAGGTGATGCCATTCCCATTCCTTTTACCTATAGAAATAAATTACCAACATATAAAAATAATTATTTTTGACAAACTATTCAAAACTGTTGAAATTTATCAGTGTGTTTAATTATCCAAATTATAACAATATATTTTGACAATTTATCAATGACTTTCAGATTGATTATGCTTCTTAAGATTAACTCTTTGTTGATTGCTCACTGCAATAATAAAAATGAATTAGAAAAATTATTTTAATAATCTTTTAAAAATTGTTTCGACATATTAACATCTACTGAAAACAATATACTCAAAATTTCTATTAATAAATATTAATGGTCTAAATTTTATATTTAGATCATTAATAATGTAATGATTTTAAATTTAAAAACAATAGTTTGATTGTATTGATTTGGCTATTTTATATGATTTGGCTAATTTATATGAAAATTGCATTCCTGGATAATATGTAAAAAATACATGCATAATATGACCCATAAAAATATGTTAAAATTTGAAGGAATGTATTTTGTAAATAATTTAGAATCTATTTATTGTAATAAATTGTCTAATGCTATCAGAAAGCATGTGCCAACACATTTATGAAATTTTGCTTATTGTAATCAGTTTCACATATTATCACAAGCTTCAGCTAAATAAGTATTTTTAAGCTGTCTTTTCCACCTTCATCTCTATATGTGGCTGATAACATGCAATCATCATCAATCATAATTATAAATTAAAGCCCTAATGTAGAATGACAATAATTTTAATGGAACTATTATACTGCAAGGAAATAACACCTTGCAGTATAATAGTTTAAATTACTAGAATTTCTTACTTCAATTATGCTTTATTTTGTTGAAGTTGATATTGAGGGGAAGGCAAGCAAACAACGTTAAATAAATTGCTATTAATTGATGATTAATAACATGTATCACTTGAATATTTCTAATTATTCATTTTGCTCTTTTAATGTTTGGTGAATAAAACTGACTCAGTTCAATCGATACACATAACAGCTTTCAGTTGTGAGGAGTGTGTCACATGTTTGTTGAGCTCATCATTGGTTGATATGATAAGATAATGATTTCAACAGAACATTCTTATTCTCATCACTGATAAGCTGAGCTTTGTAGTGCAACTTATAAATCAGTAATGAGAAAAACTCTTTTTTTCCAGCATATCTGGTTGCAATGTCAGAAGAGCATGTATCATTTCTGGACAGATGCAACTGTGCAACTCAGTCTTCCACAAGAATTTTTAGATAGATCCTTAGACACTTGCAAACTGGAAGCACTTGCTGTTCACTTGCACATCATTGATTTGAATGCACTAATTGATTTGAGACTTGGCATACTGGTGATTTTATATGGACAAAGTGCTAACACCTACATAGGTTTTTGCATTAGCATGCTTATTCATAACTCCATATTTTACATGTTCTATAGAAGTTCTATAGAAACTATATGACATGTATCAATATTGGTAAATTTTATAAAACTGATTCTCTGAATTTTCTTAACTTCTCTTTCTTATTTGATAGTGACTATTGAAAAATAAACCAGCAATGAGTTGCACAACTTTCCTGGCAACATTTAAAATTTTGGTGGTGCCATCTGTTATCATATTTTATTAAAAAACTTTTTATTTATAATTTATAATTTTTAACTATTATAAGTGGCAAAAAGCTTAACGTTAAGGGTAGAGACGCGTTTTATAAAAAACTGTAAATGCTAATAATGAGTAAAATCGTCATTAAGTCCGACCCTACTGGAGATACACATGATCCCCATTATCTTCCCACTCCTGTGACCTTTAACCACCAAAATTTAATAGCATCAATCCCTAATAAACAAGATTGAACAGACTAATTTTATAAATGAAGCACTGGCACACAAAACAAGTTATATCCACTTTTGACTAATTTGAATTAAAGCAAAATTTCTTACAGCAGTATAAGTACACACTCCTAAATTAACTGGGCAAAGGAGGTATGAGATGTTAGGATTTAGGTATTAAATTTCTATTAAGTGATATTTTGCTCATTTTGTAACAACACTTCATCCACTAGTGTCCTCAATTAGACATACAGTAAGACCCCGTTTAACGCTGCCTCGCATAATGCTGATTCAATATAACGCGGTCTGCTTGACGCCTAAAAAGAACACTCAAAATTTATGCTGATTCAAATTAACACTGTATTTCATTGATTCGTATATAATACAATTATTCCCAAACACGAATCAATCAGCAAAAGGTGGCTATTCGTCATAGTGCTGTACTTCCCTTAAATCTATGTTTGTTTTGTGCAATTTTGGAAAAAATATATCATCATAGATGCCACAGGAAATATCAACTTGGCTTGGCAAGAATTAACTGATAAATGCATGAATGGAATGTGGAGGAAGTTATGGCTGAAGGTATTCAAGAATTCTCATCAAGAAGAGCCTATTACTGTATCATTTGTCAATCTAATCGATACAGCAGGACTTGGAGATGCAGACGAGCAGGATATTGAGGAGTTACTGCAGGTTTCTGGTAAGAGCCTTACCAATGATGACTTCAAGAACTGGCAAAATAAGGAATCCATGTAGAACTGGAAAACAGTGATTCTGAAAATGAAGAACCCAAAAAATTTCTCTACAGATTTCCTTAGTAAAAGTTTGGTAACAATAACCAAAATTGTTGATCAAATTGTAGTGAATGATCTAGATTTTGAAAGGAGTGCAAAAGCAAAACGAGGCATTTTGGATGCGATCTTCTGCTACCAACATTTGCTTAAAAAGAGAAAAAATGACAAATGAAACTTCACGACTTTATTGCAAAAAAAAAATTTTTTTCAGAATAGTCAATACCTTTGTCACAAAAAATGAGCTAATTAATATATTATTATACATTTCTGTGTGCCTACATTTATGTGTTATTTAACATATATTATTATACAAATTAATATAAAAATAACTTAAAGTAAAATTTTTTTAAATTTTTGGTCGCGTGTTTCCCTATCCCTATTTACTCTATGCTAAAATGGTCTCGTTTAACGCTGTTTCGCTTAGCACTTTGTCATCCAGGAACGCAACCCCTGCGTTAAGTGGGATCTTACTGTAACTTGTTGTGTGTGCCAGCACTTCAAAAATGGAAACCTTATTCACCAATCAGCCATCATATTATCTTACTTCTTATGCATCTTACTTCACATAATTTTGAAATTGTATAATCTTGTAATAAATCACAAACAACATAACATATATATTGATATATTTACATACTGGATTTTCCAGAGCTCTGAGGATTGTTCTTTTAATACTTGCAACAGTTCCAACATATACTGAAGCTAAACTAAAAGCAGAAAATTTTTTAAAGATTAATAAAATTTTTAAAATTTTAGTTTTAGTTAATATGATACATACTCATGAATTAATTTGTGATTGATTGGAAGCAGAGTTAAATATAAATGAAGACAAACTTTTGTATATTCTTCTGTCCATGTCCCTGATACTAAAATAAAACAAAATCATATTAAAATCAAATATAAATTCTCGTTATGATTTAATAACATAAAATAATAACAACAATAATAAAAAATTTGAGTTTGTTTTAGCTAACAGACCAGAAGCAAAATAGAATAAATAACAACAACTGATTATGATCTGTTGCATTTCTTAATAATTCTTTTATATATAGAAAATATTTTGTTACTACACAATTGATATATTGCTTTATGTGTAGTTTATTATAGAGTTAAGAAATATTCATTACTTACATGGTCTTGATCTATCAGAAACAAGTACTGCTGGTGGTGAATTATTAAGAAGATACTTTAAACTTTTCAAAGCAAATTCCTTAAGAGATAAATTGAGAAATTACATGAATAAAGTTCATTTGAAGAATTGAAACATAACATTAAAAGATAATAACCTCAATGTGTGTTCTAAGTTGGCCTCTTTCATGTAGTTCTTTAGTGACATGGACTGCTTGATTTCTTACTTCCATTTTTTCATTTAAAGATAATTGTAATATTGTTTCAAGAAAATGCTGCTGTCTAGGAGGACGGCGTTCAACTAAAGCCTTAAGAGTTGCAAGACCTTGAGACACAGTTGCCTATCAAAAAAAATTTTTCAGAGAACAAATCACCATGAAAAATTTTAATAAATATGTTTTTAAAATATTTACATATTAAGATTTAATATTAACATGTAATTTTCACATTACCTGAGATATACCACCCAATGCAGCACTTCCTAAAAATAAATTAATATAAACTTAAATAAAAACATATCCTATAATCCAACTAATTATATTAAATAATAACAAACATAATAACTAAGTATACTTTCATATGCTTTTCCATTTTTTGTACTTGCACAATTTTATTTATAAAACATGTAAGAAATTTTAGATTTTTTTAAAAAAAATGATCAACAGAAGTTGAGAAACTGTCTAAGAGTGATGCACACTAATTTTGTTTTAGTTCAAAGAGAATTGTCTGCTTTAGAATGACTCAAAGAAGAGAATACTGAATGCTATGGAAAAGGTTAAGCTATATGTTTTTGTGTTTTGTTAAATTGTGATTTGAATTTTTTGTTTTATAAAAAAAATAAAGCATTTGTTCATGTTTCTCTCTCATGATTTATTTCTGACATTTATACTTCAAATAAATGGAAATTTGTAATAAGCAAATATAAAAAATTCTTGGAGTATCATTATATAACTTAATAAAAAGGCCATTCAATGTATTTTTTCTTTGTTAATTAAAAGAATTTCAAATATAACTACATTATATTCACTATTTATAGTCATTCAGTCATTAATTTCAGTTTATTAAAAAGTTCTAATAAAGGCATTTTTTTAAAACATGGCTTCTCCTTCAACATTTCAAATTACTTTAAATTAATGTTAATTGTTACACAATGCAAATATCATGGCATAACAAACATTTAAACAGTTATATTGATTGTTTTAATTTAAAATAAGAAATTAAATTAAATTTTATGCAGTAACTAGTATTATATGAAAACTAGAATTTATTTTACTATTTAATAATTTGTCATATATTCAAATATTCAGAATTTCCATTAATTTTGCCATGACAAATAAGTTCAGTTTTCAATTGATAACAGACTTTGTAATTCAGAATTAATCATGTTTAATTTTAAAAATCTTTTTCAAATATAGAACAGATTAGTCAGAAATTATTTCAATATTTATATAGAATTATTTATAAACAATTTTATTATACATACTTTCAGCTTTCAAAATTCTTTCAACAGCAGATATTACAAGGTTATCAGAGTCTTCTTTTGTTAAAGGCTTAGTTATTTCATTTAAATTTAACTGTTTCATTCTTCTTGTGCTTTTACTCTAAAAAATGACATAGTTTAATATATATATAAGTAACTTATAAAAACTTATACTTTGTAGTATAAAAATATATACAATTAACTAAATTATGATAAAAAGAAATTTCTTCTATTATAAATGAAATATAAATAAATATATATATAAATTTATTTATATA